CCCGCGGGGTCCGCAGTGACCCCTGCCGGGCGCGCAGCCGCGCCCCTGAGTAGGGTTGGGGTTCCCTCAACCGCTGGCTCGCTCGCTCGCCCGTTCACTCACTCAGTCGTTATGCACGGACTCGGTTCTCTCGTAGCCTTATCCCTTCCCGCTCTCTCTCCACGGCCAGCATCCCGCAACACGTCTTTGTTAACACAGTGTTTGCCAGACAAATGCAGTTTCTAAACGATCCTCCATTTCCCCTGCCCCCCTTCATAGCCTCCATTATACCTGTCCCCACAGCCCCCTCCTCCGATGCCTTTGGCGGGGAAAGAGGCGTCAAGGCCGGGTTGCCTGCTTGCCTCCGTCCTGCATTCTGAATCCATCCATGCCTCTTTCATTCTCCGTCAGGCTTCTTCCTTCGTTCTGCAAAACCTTCCTGAGGACCCGTGGGATGCACACTGAAGCAGCCAGGAGTAGAGAAATAAAGGCCGCCCCTACTCTTGATTTCCTTTGTGTTGGCTGCGGTCTCAGAGAGTGACAGACTCTTCCTGCTCATTTCTCACCCATCCAGGAGGGTCCAGATGGTGGAGGGTCCCAGTGGTGGGGAGATTCCCAGGGCAGGTGTCAGAGGCTTGGGTTCCAGTCAAGACCTTGCCTCCGCAAAGCATTACAGCATTGGGGAGGCGCAGGGGTTTATGATGCTGGGGCATCTCTTGGCCCCAGAGCCCTGGATCTTTCTTCAGTGGCCCTGGAACAGGTGCTGGAGACAGTGCCCAGCAACCCACCCACAGGGTTGTGCTGAACACCCGGCTTCGGTTTTGCTGTTGGGCTGACTGTAGAGGGCAGGTGAGTCTGCCAGTTGGGTGAGGACAGTCCATGGCCCTCCATTGTCCTCTCCTCCTACCTGTCAGGTCTTGTGTGGTTCCCTTGGTCCCTTTGGCACCTGCATCCAGGACATGGACATCTTGGCTTAGGTCTTGGATGAAGGTAGCTGCCTTGAGGACAGACAGGTGGAGACAGGAGGAAGTCTAATTGATAGGAAATGGAGATGTGGAAGAAGATAGCTTAGAGATAAGGAGAAGTTTGGCCAGAGCCAGAGAGGAAGGTGGTGTGGACAGCTGCTCTTCAGTTTCTTGAACTCCTATGTGAACCTTGGTATTTGGAGAAGGCATGCTCCCAGGCCTTGGTTAGCACTGTGCTCCCCCCGCAAACATTCACTCCTTCACTCAGTAAAGCGTTTTTCAGCACCCCTGTGTGCCAAGTATTGTGTTAAGTTCTGTTGCAGAAAACAGAAATGCTCAAGACATGAGCCAGCAACCAAGGATCTGATCATGTTAAACCTTCTATCTGTTGCATTCTTTCACATGTATTAAAGGGTTTAATTTTTATCACAGCCCCCATGACCTACACAGTAACCTAGTGTTATGATAGAAACTAGCATGCCTAAATCTAGGGCCGCAGAGCTGGTATGGCGTAGATCTCTGGTCAGCAAGACAGGACCATCTGGTGAAGCATCCGCGTGTCAGAGGTTGGCAGGCATGCAGCCCTTTCCTTAGGAAGGACTTCTGTTTGCCTGTGTACCTTAGCACTGTGTACATCCCCCTGGTGCCTCTCCTTATTCTTGACCATGGGCCCCATGCCAGCCAAGTGCCAGACACACAACCTAGTGCGGTGATTTCTAAATTTTGGGTTTCAGGACCCCAATGAGCTTTTGTTTAGGTGGGTTGTATCTATCCATACATACCATATCAGAACTTTAAACTCAGAAAAAATGTTAAACATAAGAATACACATATTGCATTGGCCACCAGAGTAATGTCATCACATATGTAGCCTCTGGAAAATTCCTCGCTAATGAGAGAATGAGAATGAAAAAGGCAAATAACGTTTTAGTAATTTTTGCAAAAATAGTTTAGACTTTGCAGACCCTCTGAATGGGCCTTGGGGACCACTAGGATCTTCAGATCACACTTTCAGAACTGCTCAAGAATCCATATTCCAAGGATTCTAAGACACACATTGCTTCGTATTTTAACATCTCTGGAACCAAGATATCTTTCACAATTATAATTGGCAGTGCCTTTTCTTTCTTAATGTACCCAAAGTAATGCTATGTTTCACAAGCAACGGCATCTGAGATTTGATGGAATGCAGTACAGCCAGTTAATAATCCCAGGGGCACCAGGAAGCAGTGTGAGTCTCATAGTGCATTTTATGGACTCAGGAAAGGATAGCAGAGTGAGCCCCCGGGGAAGGGGGGTCAGGTGCAGCTCAGGCTTCATTGAAGACAGGAGATTTGGGAGTAGGGAGAGACTGGAAAGACAGACAGGGTGTGGAAAGTGATAGGGAAATTGACAGCCGCTCTTTTGCCAGCACCTGAATCCTCTTTGTGGCAGAGCTTCTCCTGCCCACTTGTCCGGCTCCAGGGCCTGCTCAGGGGCTGCTACGCTCTGTTAGGAAAAGTGATACCACCATGTTCTTTGAGACCACCATGCTACCTCCTCTTGGGGACCCTCAGCGCTGCTGAGAAATCCGCTGCGCAGTGGGACGGGCGTGGCTTCTCCTGCCTGTCATTCTCTGAGGGAGGACCCAGGCTAGCAGTCCCGGCGGCACCTGGGAACTTGTTCGAAATGCAAACGCTCTTATTCAGAAACTCAGGGAATGTTATGCGTTCTACCAAGCCCCTGGTGCAGTCTGACGCACCCCCTGGTTTGAGAATCGCTCTAGTCACTCTGTTCTCGCTCTCGGCAGTCAGCTCCTGCCCGCTCCAGATGTCCCCGCTCCCTCTCGGCAGCCGAGCTCTCCTCTTTCTTCCCTAAGAATCTGGAAACCGTTCTGCGAGAACACCTGCTTGCTTGCCAGCAGATCACACCATCGGCAGCTGCCCTTGTGGGTACTGGGCTCCCTCATACACTTCGCCTTGGAGGAGGCGCCTGTCTCTTCTCTCTTCTGGGGCCCATCCTCCTTCTAGTTGAGGATTCCACCCCTCTCTCCTCGGATACCAAAGACATCCTTCAGCCCCATCCCTACCTAACCCACCAACCCACGCTTCCTATCGGGTCTGAAACATGCTTGCATTAACCTTAAAACCAAAACGAAACACCTCTTCTGACCTCACATCCCATCCACTTGGTATCCTGTTTCTCTCATTTTTCTTCTTAGCCAAACTTCTTGAAAATTCAGTCTCGATTTCCTCTCCACTCCTCACACTCATCCTAGCCTAATCTGGCTTCCATTTTTCCATCTACACCTGGCTGAAATCTCGAAGCTGTTTTTCAGTCCTCATCTCTCTTGGGATGCCTTTGAGCCCCTTGACTGAGCCCTCTCCCCTAACTATGCTCCCCCATCAGCCCAGGTGTGATTGGCATCAGTGGGAAGGTCTTCTAGAATTAATTTAAGGTGAACTGCAATGGTTCATATTTAAAATAAAATCCTGCCAGGCGTGGTGGCTTATGCCTGTCATCCCAGCACTTTGGGAGGCCCAGTTGGAAGGACTGTTTGAGCCCAGGAACTTGAGACTTGTTCGCTTGTGCAACATAGCGAAACCTTGTCTTTACGACAAATAAAAACACAATGAGCCAGGCGTGGTGGCGCACACCTGTAGTCCCAGCTGCTCGGGATGCTGAAGTGGAAGGATCACCTGAGCCCAGGAGGTTGAGGCTGCTGTGAACCATGATTGTTGTGATCATGCCACTGCACTCCAACCTGGGCACAGAGGGAGACCCCCCGAATCAAAAATAAATAAATAAGTAAAAAATAAAATCCCAAATATGTACTTTTTTGCAGTTTCTCCAATTTGAGTTGAATACTGTTCTGTAAAGATATTCAGTTTGTCACAATTTAAAGCACAGGTTATTTAAGACTTATGGTTGTAATGAATCCCTAGAGGGTCAGTGGATTGCCTTTCTGGAAATACATTGGCCTCAGATAAAGGTGCGCCCACCACCCCCAATTCTCCAAGAAGAGGCCTGCTTTATCACTCACATGCTCTAAGTGAAGGAATGGAGAAATTTGAGATCCTGGTCTTCCAACAAAGACAGCAACTGTCTTCAACTCCACTTTCCTCTTGAATTTCATGTAAATAAAACTGTCCAATATGTACTCTTTTGTGTCTTGAGGTTCATCCACAAGTTTTGTTTTTTTTTTTCTTGCGAGTAATATTCCATTTTGTTAAAATACTACAACTTATCTATCCATTCTCCTGGTTATAGACATTTGAGTTGTTTTCAGTCTTCAACTATAATGAATAAAACTGCTGTGAGTATTCCTGTGTGTGTATTTTTGTTGCTATTTGCTTTAATTTTTCTTAGGTAAACAGCATCAAAGGGGATGAGGGGAATGGCCTACCCCAGCAGGTAGCCACATTTTATGACATTGTTTACAATTGCACCTGAATGATGATAATGTAGATTATTTTTTAGTGGGTTTTATTATTGTTTTTAAATTCTCTGCAGAAATTGCACCCGCTTATTGACTGATCTGGGCCAATCACTCATGACTCTCTC